AGCTCACCAAGACGAGCTGGACTGGGACTGATGGACCATATGATCAAACTGGACTCTCTGAATGTGGCTGACAATGAGGGCTGACTGAGAAGCCAAGTACAATGGCACTGGGTTTTGATCCTACTGCATGTACTGGCTTTGTGGGAGCCTAGTCTGTTTGGATGCTCACCTTCCTAGACCTGGATAGAGGGGGGAGGACCTTGGACTTCCCAAGGGCAGGGAACCCTGACTTCTCTTAGGACCGGAGGGGAAGGGGAGGGGCAGTGGAGGGAGTGGGAAGGCAATGGGAGGAGGGGAGGAGGAAAAAAAAGAAAGAAAATATACTGTAGCGAGGAGCAGCAGGCTGCGTTCCTGCCACCTGGCTCCCGCACGGCTGGCTTTATATCTGAAACAACAACACAAATTGTATTCATTAAACACAGCTTGGCCCATTAGCTCTAGCCTCTTACTAGCTAATTCTCACATCTTGATTAACCCATTTCTAATAATCTGTGTAGCACCACGAGTTGGGAGCTTACTGGGAAGGATCTTAACCTGTGTCCATCTTGGAGAGGACAGCTATAGCGTCTGCCTGACACTGCCTTTTTCCTCCTAGCATTCTGTTCTGTCTACTCTGCTTACCTAATTTCCTGTCCTTGCAAAGGGCCAAGGCAGTCTCTTTATTAGCATAGACAGAAGGCCCACCTACATCATTTCCCCTTTTTCTGTTTAAACAAAAAAGAAAGACTTTCACTTTAACATAGTGAAATTACATATAACAAAACAGTTATCAAGCAAGAATTACAGTTATAATGTTTATATCTATTTTATCTTTTATCATAACTAAGGAAAACTATAACTATCTATCCATTCTTCAACTCCATCAAAGACTCCAGAAGGATATAATATTATCAAAGTAAACAAGAAGTAAGCAACTTCCAAAACTCTAGAAATGACAGAGACATCTCACTGCCTGGACAGTCACCTACATTTCCTTTATACTGTTGGGGCATCCATCTTTGGCCTGCAATCCCATAGTATTCAGCAGACATTTCCATGAAACAGGAAATTCCAAAGACAGTTCAGTCACTTTCTGCTGTTTCCTGCAAAATGTCTCACAAACTCTTTCATGAATCAGGAACCCTGAAAGACCATTTCACCTATAGGCAAGTTCAGCAGTCCTCTCTCTCTGCAGGTTCTCTGTGTCCAGTTTATGCAACAGTTCAGGCAAGAGCAGTTTCTTGCCCAAATGGCTATCAAACTCCATAAGGAGCCTCTTTGATGCTCATCTTCCTCTTGAAGTAGATTGGTGCTGCCAGGAGCAGACGTGTCTCATTGTTATGAAAAGCCCTAAGTTATTAAAACATTTTAAATGCCAAATTCTGTAGTCTTTGAAAGAGATGAACAATGCCTATCTAACTGAAATATATTTCTATATATCTAGAAAGTCTAACTAACATGACTACAAGCTTGACTATTAGAGATGATTAGCCATTAACAACCTATATTTCCTAATTAAACATTACATTTTAAAATGAACTACACAATCACAATACCTCAATCAAGAGCAGAAATATACATATAACAGGATGTAGAAGCAGAAAACTTTTTGAAGAGAGTCACGCCTAGACCAAGAATTATTCTCTATCAGGGATGCGCTCACTCACTGTTCACAAAATAAACGTGGTCAGACCTTGTGAAATTGACTAAAACCCAAGAAGAAGTGACTTTTCCTTTGAGGGATTTTTCTGGGTTGAATCATTTGAAGTAAACAGACCCACTTAATCCAGATCTTTTGAGGTGTGAAAATCCATCTAAATCTTGGCCACACTTTCTTGTGGCAGCTTTGCAAGTTTATGATGGAATCTCAGTCTTGTTTTTATTTACATTTCTCTAATGGCTAAGGATGTTGACCATTTCCTTAAGTGTCTTTCAGCCATTTTAGATTCCTCTGTTGAGAATTCTCTGTTGAGGACTGTACTCCATTTTTTTTTTACTTTATTATTTGTTCTTTTGATGACTAATTTCTTGAGTTCATTTATATATATGCATACATATATATTGGGTTTTGTTTTGTTTTTATTTATTTATTAAAATTTCCACCTCCTCCCAGTTCTCTCCCACTCCCCCCATTCTCCTTTTCCCTCCCTCTATAGTCCTGAGAGAAGTCAGGGTGCAAAAAAAATTGCCCATTTCCTCTTATGATTGGAGAGGTGGGGTAGGAGGGTCTTGTGGAGGGAGAGGAAAGGGAGTAGGAGGAGGGGAGGAAGTGGGAAATTGGGGGGGGGAGCTTTAATAAATTTTTAAAAATTAAAAAAGAAAAAATTGTCCATTTCTTTTACATTTTCCAATTTTGTAGTAAGACTTAATGATTCTCTGAATTTCCTGTGTCTGTTTATTCCCGCTTTCCATTTCTGATTTTCTTAGTGTTCTCTCTCTGCCTTTTGATTAGTTTGGATAGGGGTTCGTCAATCTTGTTGATTTTATCAAAGAACCAACTCTTTGCTTCATTGATTCTTTGCATTGTTTTCTGTGTCTATTTTGTTGATTTCAGCCCCCATTTTGATTATTTCCAGTCTTCTACTCCTCCTGGGTGAGTCTGCTTGTATTTTTTCTAGAGTTTTCAGGTGTGCTGTTAAGTCTCTAATGTGAGCTTTCTCCGTTTACTTTATGTCAGCACTTAGTGCTATGAACTTCCCTCTTAGCACTGCTTTCATAGTGTCCCATAGGTTTGGGATGTTGTGTCTTCATTTTCGCTGAATTCAAGAAAGACTTTAATTTTTTTTTTCTTTTTCAACCCACGGGTGGTTCAGTAGTTGACTGTTCGGTTTCCATGAGTTTGTAGGCTTTCTGGGGGTAGTATTGTTGTTAAATTCTAACTTTACTCCATGGTGATCTGATAAGACACAGGTGGTTACTCTAATTTCTTTGTATCTGTGGATGTTTACTTTGTTACCAAGTATGTGATCAATTTTCGAGAAGGTTCCATGAGGTGCTGAGAAGAAGGTATATTCTTTCCTGCTTGGTGGAATGTAGCTCAAGTTTTTACATTGTCATGCCACACTATCTTTTTAAAATATATCTTTTTTTTCTTTAAAGTGTGGTGGAAACAACGCTTACTAATGAAGTAGCTGTTGGTAGGCATGTACCTAGCATTTCATAACTAGAGATTTAATTATACAGAGTAACTTGTTACACATCCTTTGGCATACATACCTATACCTGTGCAGGTACCAATTTCAATAATATTAGAAATTCATCTCCCAGAGACTGCACTTAACTCAGTGGAATAAAATATTACCACTTTTCACAGCTATCTGAGGTAATCTCAGTTAATCTGAGGTATCTCAGTTAATCTGTTCAAAGTAATGTGCCAGGATTGTACATTTCTACAAAAATGCTTTTTTTTTTTTTTAAAGATTACTCGGTTTCACTGTGAATACTGAAAACATTGGGGGGGGGCATGTTTTGCTCAAAGTTTAGGTAATAAAAATAAAAATTGGCTGTCAGTTTTCCACACGCCTTTAATCCCAGACTTGGAAGGCAGAGACGAGTAGATGGGTGAGTTCAGGTCAGCCTAATATACACTGCAAGTTTCAAGGTCAGATGGGTCTACACAGCAAGTTCCAGGACAGCAAAAGCTACCTAATATAGACATCCTGTCTCAAAACTACAAAAAAAAATTAAATAAATTAAAAAAATATTTATTTATTTATTATGTATACAATGTTCTGTGTGTATGCCTGTAGGTCAGAAGAGGGCACCAGACCCCATTACAGATGGTTGTGGGTCACCATGTAGTTGCTGGGAATTGAACTCAGGACCTTTGGACGAACAGGCAATGTTCTTAACCTCTGAGCCATCTCTCCCGCCCCAATAAATTAAAATTTTACATACATTAGTAGAAAATGTGTGGTATGAGTCTTTTATGTTTCATACAATATGATCTTGCAGTGGCATTTAGTGTAATAATCCCTTTCAAAATATTATGTGCTGAGTAAAACTTGGTCCACTGTGTGGCGGTGATGACAAGTGAATTAACTTCTGCTCTATGATGCTGACAGGAGGGAAGCAGTAACGGGATCAAGGGAAAATGCCACAAAAAAAATTAATGCTAATCTTAATCAGTCTCATAATTTTGCACTATTTTAAATGTGGGACCAAAGCACATTTGCTGTTTCTCTATACATAGCTTGCTCCCTTTCCAACTCTTCAACATGTTGCAAAACAGCAAAGTAGTCTCACAGTAGAAGCAAAAATGATAAACCTACCTACCTGCTCTTCAATTTTCAACCTAAAAAAGAAACCGTCATCAAAATATGTAGGGGAAGCCCAGCCCAAGGGGGCGTGTTCGCCTTGGGCTAATGTTTACGTATAAATCTGGCGAGTATGAGCACCCCTGTTCCTTTTTTTGTACTTTCTGCTCATCGCTGGTGTTGTAAGCTAGTCCCTCATTAAAGTTTACTATTTCATATTAAGCTAACCTGGTTATTACACCACATCATTTTGGCGCTCTAACGCCTCTGCCCCTAAGCAGGCCCAGGGTGCAGGCTTGAACTTTAGATTGAGAGAGCTGCCTGCTCATGCGCACTACACTCTCTTCCTGAGGGCTGCTACTGATTGAGAGCAGCCCCCCAACGTCCCAGTTTGTTCCCATCTCGCAGCTCACTGCCTGGATCCTATCTTCCAGGCACTTGCAAGCAAGTTTCACAGCGGGCTCCCGGCACAGTTGCCAGGCGCCCCAAGGCTGTGTACTAAACACAGCCCCACCTGATTTTCCCAGCTCTAGCAACAGAGCACAGGATACACATAACTCAGGCCCGAGCACGCTAACCCCTCCCCGCCTATCTCGGCTGAGTTTGCAGTACAGCCAAGGCTCGGATGCGGATCCAATACCGTCTGATTTTACCCAAGGGGGCGTGTTGGCCTTGGGCTAATGTTTACGTATAAAAATAAATTTAATTTCCTGAAAAAGTTCTAAACATCAAATGTTTCATTAAGCAATAGGAAATGACAGGGCACACTATTTGTCATGATATTTATTATATTAGCTGTATGGATTATCATATCACAGTTAACGGATCATTAAGAAAGATCTCTAACATAAAGTTCTAACCTGAGGTGGGTATTCAGTGCTTCTTAAGCAATGTCTCAGAACCCTGGCCTCTACCCAGCAGCTGACAACCAACAGCTCCCAACATCCAGTTAAGTAAACAAGAATGTCTCCAGACTTAGTCAAATGTATCCTCGAAGACTGTATCACCACTCATGTTTTATGCTTGAATACTCAAAAATTTGCTGTTAAGGTAGTTAATGTTTAACATGACCCATATTCATATGTATAATATATACATTGGTAAGTCTCTCTTCATTACAATTTCTTATAAAAATGAAAACACTATAAAATATTTGGCAATTATCTAATTTATTCTTCAGTGAGATACACCTGCATGATATAAAGCATTCCCAAAAATGATTCATTGTAATTTTCTTCCACAATTGATTCTTCTAGAATTAACCTAGAAATGAAGAATGACAAGGCAGGCTTCTCTTCTGTATGAATGTGCTGATAAAAAGTTATTCACATCCCGCAGAAAGATTCCTTGTATTCATAAAATGAATTGTCAAGAATGACCTGTTAGTAATACAATGAGAACAGATCACACTTGGGGAAACTAAACATTACATTTATTTCACACTAATGTGCCAGGCATAAAGGACAAAAAAAGGAGGAAAGATCACTGTTTCTCAAACAATTCTTAAATCCCAATAAATTTCTTCCACCTTTATTTGCAAGAATGTCCTTAGGGTCACCTTCGCTTTTTTTTGACACAAACGGGGAAAAAAAAAAAAACTGCCTGCTGTTTTTTGGGTTGCCATCAGTGAGTTCATAGTGTCCCAGCAGAGCTCACTTAACTTGTAACGGCTACGGTGGAGGCAGAGACTTGCAGACTATGTCCAGAGATAAGAAAATGGTCTCTGCGGGACACATGGCCACTCTGCTACTCAGCATTATTTCTCTGTACACATTTTGTGATGTATGTCAACGCTTAATTTCTAGATGGTCTTGATGTTCTTCCATGCCATAAGACTTCCCTTAGATTATACTGTCTGATGCTTGCCTAGCTGTAATTCACGGGCTTCCAATATTATTAGAGGCTTTTCTCTCTCAAGGGGGTTCTCTAATGCATGCTGTGGTGAATTTTTACTGGAAAGCTCCCACAATAACCCTATTCCCAGAGATTTTCTTCACAGGACTATTTCATATTTAACAAGCAGTGACTTCCAGATAATTTTCCAATGGTTACATTTCTTGAAGAGATTTTTGCCAGTGTGGACTTTCTCAAGCATATTAAGGCATGAATGATGCCAAAATGGTTTTCAACTTTAATTATATTCATTGACTTTTCTCAATTATGTTATAAAAAGTATTTACCACACTCAGGGCTTTCACTGAGTTCCTCTCCAGTATGAGTTATCTCAAATATACTGAAGAAAAACATGTTTAAAACTTCTATATTCTTTACATTCACGTTTCCTCCTATCTAAATACTTAGATGCATTCCAAATTTAGATCTGTAGTGTGGGACATTTTTCCACATGTATTACATTTATTAAAATTTCCTCTTGTGTGGGTTTTCTCATAACATGTTAAGGGCAAGTTCTGGTGGGACTCCCCCTCACATCCATTCCTAATTCTTGTCAGCCCTGTGTAGATCCTCTCATGTTAACTGAAAGCTGTTTTGCAGAAAGAACACCTACCCCACTCACACTCAAGGGAATTCCTGGAGTACTGCAAACCTTCTGAGGCTTAAAAGTCAGGCAAACATCTTTCTGTACCCATCCCCATCATACATCCCGATGTCTATGAGTTCTCTGATGCCTAATTAGGTTTGATTTCTGTGAAAACGTTTTTCTGCATACAATACATTCATAGGGTTTCTTCCCAGAATGAATCAACTCATGTACAATGAGAGATGATTTGTAGCCAAACATTTTCCCACACTGACTGCATTCATAGGGCTTTTCACCTGTGTGAATTCTATAATGCTTACTGAGGACTAACTTCCACTGAAATGTTTTCCCACACTTAGTACATTCATAGGGTTTCTCACCTGTATGAATTATCTGATGCTTGTTGAGATATGACTTGTTCTGAAAGGCTTTGCCACACTGTTTACATTCATATGGTCTCTCACCTGTGTGAACTTTCTGATGAGTTTTGAGGTATGATTTATTTTGAAAGGCTTTTCCACATTCTTTACATTTGTGTGATTTCTCGCTGTTGTGAATTCTCTGATGCCTCCTGAGGTCTGACTTTTGGTAAAAGGCTTTTCCACACTCGTTGCATGCATAGGGTTTCTCACCAGTGTGAGTTCGAAGGTGCATGTTGAAGTATGATCTGTTATGGAAGGTTTTTCCACATTCTTCGCATTCATATGGTTTATCTCTCTTGTGAGTTCCCTGATGCAATTTGAGGTATGACTTCTTTAGAAACGCTCTTCCACAGTCTTGACATTCGTATGGTTTCTCACCTGTGTGAGTTCTCTGGTGCATTTTGAGGTACCACTTATGCTGGAAGGCTTTACCACACTCACAACATTCAAAGGGTTTCTCACCAGTGTGAGTTCTCTCATGTACAACAAGGGCTGACTTTTGCCTGAAGCTTTTATCACATTTACTACATCCATAGGGCTTTTCTCCTGTGTGAATCCTCTGATGAGTAGTAAGGGAGGATTTAGTGCTAAAGAGTTTCTCACACAGAATACATACATGAGCTTTCTTCTGGTCATGTGTCCTCTGATGAACTGAAAGGTCTAATTTGCTAGTAAAGGTTTTCTTTCTTTTAAGGCATTCACAAGGTTTGCTCCCTGAGTATGTTTCTTGGTGTTCAGTGAGGTTACATGTTTTACCAAAAGTTGCCTTCCCTACCTTAACCATGACATCCGACTCAACAGAGACTTGCTCATATTCATTATGCTTATACAAAGTCAGTCCCATTTGAAGTCTGTTAGATGGAGTAATTCTTTTCAGTACTTTTGCCTCCTTTGTATCTTTTCCTTTTCCACTGTGTTCAAAATCCTGCTGCCCAGTTTGAATCTTGGAATGTTGACCAAATTGCTCAGGACACTTGAGGGATTTCCCTGCTACACCACAGTCACTGTATTGCTTTAAAGTGTATATGCCATGAGACTCAGAAGGAAGACATGTATTCTCATATCCATTCAACTCCTCAGGCTTCACTCCTGAACATTCTCTATTATTTACAACAAAATTTGAAATTTTCATGGAGCAAAAATAAAAAGTGTTTTCTAATCCATCTGTTTCCTCAGTTGCTCTATTGTGGCTATTGGCAGTAACTTGCCATAAATGTCTGTCTTCACATTTCTGGTTGGTCTCAACTGTGCCATCCACATTGTAGAAGCCTAAAAGGACCAAAAAAAATTTTTTCTGTAAATTACAATTTAGGTTTTCTAGTGGAATTCTCATGTTCATGCCAAGAAATTATTTCCTATACTACTAGCATAGTGATTCATTAAGATCATATTAAGTACTAGTTTATAAACTTTATTTATTCTTTTGATATAACATACTGAAACACACTAATAGATTAACATATTTTTCCTCACTTTATTTTATTTTTGTGAAGCAATATTTTGTTAAAATATCCACCAATTTCTATGACCTTTTCTTTCTGGCATTCTCTTTTTCTGGTCTAAAAGGGGCAATAATTTCTACCTCTTCTTTGCAGATTATGAGAAAAGCCCAATAGGCTGCCTCGTAACCGGAGGTCTCCCTTATGGCCATGTGTTTACATCTTTATTTGTTAGAGTTATTACTTCAGGAGTGGTCATGGATTATGAGTTTTCAAACATGAGAGTCCTTTCTTTCCACTTTCACACAAGCAGATATCAGTAATTGGGGTCTTAATTGAACATGTCCTGCTCTTTTCAGAATCAGAATAAATACAAGGAAACTCATGCCCACCACCACCCTGGAGAAATGAGCATGCTATACATCAGTTCTAAAATGTCTGGCTACTTGTGATATCAAGAGCTTTGACATTCACCTCCAAATTGCTGATACACCCTCCTATGTCTGATAATCCATAGATTCTAGAGGATGTTATCATGTTTACAGAACCTTTACTTCTTTTAGTTTCACAGAGGATGGAATCTTCTGCCACTTCTCATTATCTTTGTTGCTTTAGAATGAAAGAAAGAAAATAGATGGAAGTGCTGCATTCAAACTATAGTCCTCATTTTAAAAAAAACCATCTTGAGTTCTTCAATATGAAAACTTGTTTCACTTCTCCTTGATTCTTTCTCAAGTGGAAACATCCCTTCCTATTCTGGATCCTCTTTATGGTTTCTTAGATCATGCCTCACACGCCTTAACTTGTAGGTCTCTTCCTGTATTTTATTATCAACTACCTAAGAGAAATACTCTATAACTTTAAACACCATCTGTTACTCATTCTACTCTGGTTCAACATTACAAACAGTTGTTTGTGACTCCTTAGTGTAAATAAACTTATCTGTCTTTTATCAAAATATTAATTCCATGAAGTAAGGATATTATTTTTACATTTTTATCGATGAACAAATATAAAATGACCAGTACTTGAAATCTGTCTCATTAAAATGTGCTAAAAAGATAGGGCTAGAGAGATGGCTCAGTGGTTAAGAGCACTGACTGCTCTCCCAGAGGACCAAGGTTCAATTCCCAGTACCCATGTGGCAGATCACAACTGTGTGTAACTCCAGTTCCAGGGGATCTGACACCTTCACACCAATGCACATAAGATAAATTTAAATAAATTATTTTTTTAAATGTGCTAAAACTGATAGCTTATGCTGGAGAGGATGTGGAGTAAGGGGAACATTAATCCATTGCTGGTAGGAATGCAAACTTCTACAACCACTTTGGAAATCAATGTGGCGGTTTCTCAGAAAATTGGGAGTCAACCTACCTCAGGATCCAACAATACCACTCTTGGGAATATACCCAAGAGATGCCCTATCATACTACAAAAGCATTTGTTCAACTATGTTCATAGCAGTATTACTTGTAATAGCCAGAACCTGGAAACAACCTAGATGCCCTTCAACAGAAGAATGGATAAAGAAAGTGTGGCACATCTACACATTAGAGTACTACTCAGCCTACTCAGCGGTAAAAAACAATGACATCTTGAATTTTGCATGCAAATGGATGGAATTAGATAACACTATCCTGAGTGAGGTAACACAGACCCAAAAATATGTACTCACTCATTAATGGATTCTAGCCATAAACAAAGGACACTGAGCCTATAGTTCAGATCCTAGAGAAGCTAAGTAATAAGGTGAACCCAAAGAAAAACATATATAGACCCACCAGGAAATTGGAAATAGGCAAGATCACCTGACAAAATTTGGGAGCATGGGGGCGGGAGTGGGGGAGGAAGGGCAGAGGGGAAAGGAAGGGAGAAGGGGAGGGTTGGGGAGAGCTTGAGGGAATGGTATAGTTGAGATGGAGGAAGGACAGATATGAGAGCAAGGAAAGAGATATCTTGATTGAGGTAGCCATTTTGGGGTTAGCAAGAAACCTGGCTCTAGAAAAATTCCCAGGAATCCACCTGGATGAACCCAGCTAGGACCCTAAGCAATAGAAGAGAGGGTGCCTGAACAGGCCTTGCCCTGTAGTCAGACTGATGAATGTCTTAAATATCACCATAGAACCTTCATCCAACAACAGATGGAAACAGAGGCAGAGAACCACATCAGAGCACTGGACTGAGCTCCCAAGGTCCAGTTGAAGAGCAGAAGGAGGGAGAGTATAAGCAAGGAAGTCAAGACCATGAGGGATTCACCCACTGAGACAATGTGCCTGAGCTAATGAGAGCTCACCAACCCCAACTGGACTGAGAATGAACAAGCATAGGACCAAACTAGTCCCTCTAAATGTGGTTGACAGTTGGAGCAGACTGAAGGGTCAATGACAATGGCACTGGGATTTGTGTCTACTCCCTATACTGGCTTTTGGGGATCCTATTCTCTTTGGATGTATACCTTGCTCAACCTAGATGTAGTAGGGAGTGCCTTGGACTTTCTATAGGGCAGAGTGCCTCGCCCTCTCTTAAGACTGGAGGGGTTTGGGGAAGTTCTGTGAAGGGGGTGGGAGGAGGGGAGGAAGTGGGAATTTGGATTGGTATTTTTTAAGTAATAAAATAAAATAAAATAATAATAAAAAAGAAAGAAAAATCACAAAAAACACAAGAAAAAAAAATGTCTGAAAACAAAATCCCCATGAGACTGGCGTTTAAGAGGCAACTGAAACAATGGAAAAAGGAAGTACCAGAGAAAAACATCAAATAACAGAAGTCAACAATTAGACTTCAGGGGTAAATCTTAGAAAATTTTCGTCAAATTGAAAGGTAGGAACATATTCAAGAGAATTCTTTTTGTAGACCATGTCTTCTTGTGGACTTCACTGAACAAGTCTGAGCCCTCAAATATGGAACTTAGGATAAATTACTAAAACAGCCAACCTGTGCTAGACATGAACTCCCATTCATGAGTACCGACTAACCTGACATACTCTGGTTTGTAGATTCATCTGCTGTCCATGGCTCTGCTCCCTGTTCCAATCTGAAGATTAACTCAGGTTTAGGGCTGCATTGTCCTGTTAATTAGAAATAATGTAGGACTTAGAAAATTATGCTAATAAGGTTTTTTGAAGAAAGACAAAACCAGGTTTTAGGATCTACGCACCAAAAATACAAATGTGGACCTTTCACTAGAGAGCAGTGAACAGTCATGGAACCCGTGGCCCAGCACCTTATCCCTGAACAGCTTTACATCTCACACTTGCTCACATATTCACTGCAGTGAAATGGCTGGCTCCTTAGACTTACTTACCCAGTGACACCAGGCTGCTATATGTCTCCAACATCACATTCCTGTACAGCACCCTCTGAGCTTCATCGAGATTCTGCCACTCCTCCCAGGTGAAGTTCACAGTGACATCCTCAAATGACACCAAATCCTGTAACAGCACATTCCTCCTCGATTACTCTATGCTTATAAACAGGAACCTGAGGTTTCCTAAATAGTAGAAGGCCTTCATGTACACTTTACATTATAATTTGTCTTGCTTATGTAGTGGAGAAAAAGAAACATCAGAGTACTATCCTGAGGTTATTGATTTATTAATGGACTACAATAATTACCTTATAGATTAAAACCTTAACTGTTGGAATAAGAGAACCCAGGCCATTCAGGTAACCAGGCCTTAACCACATAGGGCTGTATGTGAGACATGAACACATGCAGGCCTCGCTCTGCCTCCTAGGGGTTGGAGGCAGCCTGACTACTGTTATGCTGTATGAGTCATGCAATAATAATCCCTACACCCCAAAGAAAGAGTAACCCTTCTCACTAAGTTTTGTATGCCCTATTCCCTAGCTCAATCATGTATCAAAAGTCGTATGTTTTTTTTTGTTTGGTTGGCTTTTGTTGTTGTTGTCTGGTTTTTCGAGACAAGGTTTCTATGTGTAGCTTGGGAGCCTGTTCTGGCACTAGCTTTCGAGACCAGGCTGGCCTCGAACTCACAGAGATTCGCCTACCTCTGCCTCCCAAGTGCTAGGATTAAAGGCGTGCACCACCACTGACTGGCTCAAAAGTTAACCAAACCTGCTTTGTGCAAGACCTCCCCTTCCTCAGAAACATTTGAAAGTTTAACCTTTGCTTCATTTGGCATGGCTGAAACTCCCCTTCAGAACCCTGTCTTAACCACACGAGCAACCACACACCACACTAATAGTCTTATAGTCCTATACATAGTATCATATGTAGGTGAATGAACCTGTGCTGTGACAACAGGAAAACACAAGGAACTGGTCACGGAGTGAATGACTCTGCAGCTACATATCTTTACTGTCACGTCCACAGCAGTGACTGCCGTGTAGTGACAAAATGCCTCTGCGCTGGCTTTTGCCTGCTGAAGGATTGGGGTTAGAGCTTCTTGGAGCGAAGCCCCAGGTGGTCCCCCTGGCAATCAGCAGTCCAGAGAGGACCTGATGCCCTAGGCAAATCTCGTATCTGGAGATGGCCTTGAGAGCGAGCACTCCTGACACCTTGCCTGATCTTTCTCTGTATTTCTTAATTTTCTTGTTTGTAGCTGACCGCTTACCAAGAGATCAAAGTACGTCCTTGGCTTGGCCCCACTGTTCAATAAAGCAGTCCTTGAGGAACTGAAGTATGCCCCATGCCACATGAGCCTGGGAAACTTTATTATTTATGAAACAGAAACGGCTAAAGTTGATATGTTATGAGGGAATCATCATGGTGAATCAGATTTAGAGAGAAAAGGAGAGTTAGAGAAAATTCCCCTTTATGAAAAGATTAGCTAGATCTCAGAAGCCCTGGAGTCTTTATAGTAAGAAGGAAAGAAAGGAAATTATTGAGCTTTAATATATTGGTATAGGAACTATCATGAGAAAATGAGAAAACTATTAGGGGATATGGAGCAAAGAATAAAAACTATATAGATGGAAAGCTAAACACAGGACCCTGAGAACTAGTCTCCCACGGTAGAAAGTAAATAATGGTGTGAGACAGAATTCTAAGAGACAAAACAAAACTAAAAGTCCTTACCAACATCTTGAGCACGGAAGGGGAAACACGTAGAAAGGAGCACGTAGAAGAAGCTCTATTTTGGTTATGCTTAATCTTGATTTATGTCTGGAACCCTGAGTGGGGTGATGTAATGCACCTGCCAAGTTCTTTGATCTGTTTTGTACAAAAACTAAAGCTTTACAGAAGTAAAGTTGCAGCAGATTTTCACTACACAGTGTGTCTGTCTGTCATTTCCCTTGCATCGTATCCTGACTATCTTATCCTTCACCCTGGTCCCCCGTGGGTGGTGGTCTCCGAGAGGGACGGTCCGCGGCACTTTACTAGTTTCTTTCTTTTTTGGTTTTTCAAAACAGGGTTTCCCTGTGAAGGTCTGGCTGTCCTGGCGCTATATATTCACTATATAGTCCAGACTAGCTTAGAACTCAGAACTGAGTGCTGGAATTAAAGGCGTGTGCCACCGCCCAGCTTGATATCTAGACTAATTTCAATGGTAAGTGCAAGTCAGAGGAGCAGCAGGTGGCAATTGAAGTTCAGGTCTGCCAGCCAGGAAGCAAAGCTCTAATGGGTGAATCTCAGATAGGCAAGGCCCCAAGGGCTTTGGCCCCATAATGTCTCTTGCTACTGCTGTGCCATTTTTCTCTGGTATTTGGCATGGTGTGAATGGGCAGGGGGAAATCCCCACTGCCTTTAATGTAGTGTGATTATCTCATGGAAATATCCTGTCCTGCTGGGCATTTTCCCCTGAGGACTATTATGAGATGATTTCCTCCTAAGCTCTACTGTTTAACTGAAGCAGTGATTTTAAACAATAATAGTGTTAGTTTAAATAGGATTTTGATGACTGAGGGTTTTTAATAAATATAGTAAGGGATTATAATTTATTAAAATAGTAGGGAAACTAATATAGGAAAAAGCAAGATATAGTGTAGCCCCTACCTCTGATAAAGCAGGGGCTGCAAAGAACAGAAAATATCCACACTGCTACTTTCTCTTGAGGAGCCATATAGACTGTGACTTAGGTTAATGATTAAGAAAAACAATTGAGTCCTAAAAGCCGAGCTAGCTCAAATTCTTTTAATCTTTATGTTGGGAGATGTGGTCACGGCTTTTGGTGTGCATCATAGCTAAAACAAAGTTTTAACAAATGACTTAAGGTTAGGTTAAGATGTTTTTGTTAATGTCTTTGAGGTAATAAAAAAAAGTATCTTGGAAAACAATTTAAAGGCATACTTTATTAATAAGTTCACTGATACTGTGGCTTCCCCTTCGATCTCTGAGCTGCTGGACACTGGTCCTCATGGCAGCAATAGCTAAGTTTTATATGCCTCTTGGTCCTGTCCCTCACTGGCTACAACACTAGGGAGAAATGGTTCTGCACCTCACCTGGGCAGCACAATAGAGCTGATCCTGTTAACAGGGTGCAGGTGAGCTGGTTCTGAGGTCATGAGAGTGGGAGAGTTGATCCTGCCCCCCTCATTTGCCATTCAGTGGTGTGGGCGAAGGAAAGATGCCCTCCCCCCTTGGCACCTGCGGCAGACAAGAGCTGATCCTGCACCTCTCCTGGGCAGCACAGTAGAGCTGACCATGTTGATGGGGGCATGGATGAGCCACCGCAAGAACCTGAACATGGAAGATCTGGCCCTGCTCCATCTAGCACACAGTGGCATGGGTAAGGAAGAGATTTACACACACACACACAGCATCTCACTGCCTGTGGCAGGTGCGAGAGCAGGCCCTGAGGTCATGAGAGCAGGAGAACTAGCCCTGTCCCTCACCAGCTGCATCACTCAGAGACCAGGCCCTTCATCTCGCCTGGGCAGCACAGCAGAGCTGAAAGCATGAGCGTGGGAGAGCTGGCCCTGCCCTCTCTGCCACATGGTGTAGAGGGCAAGGGAAAGATTCCCTCCCTCCTCACTCCTTGCCACCAGCAGCAGGCAAGAAAACTGACCCTACCTACACCTCACATGGTGAGGACGGACAAGAGACCCTGTTGATGCCTGCACAGGTGAGCTGGCCCCAAGAATGTGAGCATGGGAAATATGACCCCACCCCTCATCTGCCATATTGGGAGAGATGCCCTACCCACCAACCCTTGCCTGTGACAGGAAGAAGAGCTGGCCTTGCCCCTCACCATCTGCAGCACTTGAGAGAGTGGCCCTTGAATTTCACTCACCCGGGCAACATAGTACAATTGGCCCTGGTGGTGTAGGTGTGGGTAAGCTATCCCTAGGGATGTGAGAACAGAAGAACCAATCCCACCCTTTGCTGCTTGCTATAAAGGATGAACCAGCCAGGGCAGTGCTAGAACGCTCACCTTGGTAGAGGGAGAGTTGGCAGGCTGACCAATCCAGCAACCACCCAGACCCAGGCATCAGGGCTATAAGTTGGTCCATCCCCAACTCTCTGGGTAAATATCACTTAACAAAATTAAATCAAGACCAGATAAGCAAATTAAATACACCTATAACTGCTAAAAAAAAAAAAAAAAAAAAAAAAATTGGAACAGACATCAAAAGTCTCACAACCAAAAAAAGCCCAGGACCAGATGGTTTCAGCTCAAAATTGTTTCAGCTCAGAATTCTACAAGATTTTCAAAGAACTAGTACCAATACTCCTCAAATTGTCCCATACAATAGAAACAGAAGGAACACTGCCAAACTCTTTTTATGAGGCTACAATTTCCCTGATACCCAAACCACATAAAGACATAACATCTAAATTTGCAGGCAAATGGATGGAGCTAGAAAACACATTATTAAGTGAGTTCACTCAGACCCAGAAAGACAAATATCATATGTACTCACTCATAAGTGGCTTTTAGACATAAAGCAAAGAAAACCAGCCTACAATTCACAATCCCAGAGAACCTAAACAACAATGAGGACCCTAAGAGACGTACATGTATCTAATCTACACGGGAAGTAGAAAAAGACAAGATCTCCTGAGTAAATTGGAAGCATGGGGATCATGGGAGAGGGTTGAAGGGGAGGGGAGAGAAAGGGAGGGGAGCAGAGAAAAATATATAGCTAAATAAGATCAATTTTAAAAGCTTAAAAAAAATAAAAAATAAGTTGGTCCATGCCATCATTCACCCCATCTACGATCTGCAGGAGGACATGAAGAGGCCAGTCTTAGAGATCCAAAGCTGCAGGATCTGCACAGCAGAGCAACAATAGGATATCTAAGTAGAGTCCCAGTGAGGGCCCAGTGTCAATAATGTAGCAGAAACCAGAGGCTTCTTGACCTCTGACTCTTGACGTGTCTCTGACTCTTCATGACCTGACCTTTAACTACTCTGACTCTTCATGACCTCTGACTTGCAATGAACACTTGCAAGTAAAGATATATGGACTAACAGGTATACTGTGTGACTCAATATGCCACACGACCACTTCCACAATGAGATTTTTCTTTCCATTCCTTTTAAAATTTATTTGGGGGAGGAAGGGGCAGGTTTTAAGAGCAGAGGGCAGATATGAAGGAATGGGGAGAAGAATGGGATTGAGATGCATGATATGAAATCACAAATTAATAAAATGTTTTTTAAAAGAGAGACAGAAGGAAAGGAAAAAAGAAGGCAAGAAAGGTAGGAGAGTAGAAATGGGGACAGTTCAGGGCGTAGTTCATAATAGGTAAATGCTTAATGTTCATGGGACACGGGGTTCAAGCCCCAGTGTATACAAACACACAAATTAAAAGTAAAGAGTCTGAGTATTTGGTTGACGTTAGTGAAAAAAAGATGGTTAATTGCAAATGGAGCCATTTTCTAGAGAAAAAGAGTATCAGTTGAGAGACTTGCAAGAGCCAGAGAGCAGAATGAAGACACATGAAGCATGGCCCTGGACTAGGCTTTCAGCCAAGAACTGTCCTGGCTGTCTAATGGGAATATATGCCCAAGTCAGTATACACAGGGCAGCCCTACATCCCACCACCCTTGTCTTCTCCTGAGTGCTGGATGAGTATGGACAGGAGGGTTAACAGACACTCGACCATGATCTTATCCAGTTCCATAACTGGAAAAGCTTCGTGGTGGAAATGACAGTGATCCAAGATATTTTCAACCTGGGAGAAATATGAATAATGTACAGCAACAAGAAAAACCATAATTTCTTAATTATTCTTAATAAAATCATAATTACTACTAATAGGAGTTAAAGTCGAATTCTCTCCATAAATTTGGCCAGGTCTTATTGATGGTCAGACTATAAATAAAATAGCAATATGTAACCATGTGGGGAATAAACAACTCACCACACATTCATTCATGATGTCTGTAAGTTGCTTGTTTGTGTTTTTGCCCTCGAAAACACACAGGTGATACCAGAAGCACAGTTGAGAAAAGGAGACCAGGGTAGAGTCATGAGAGTGAGAGGGTATCCATGGTTTGGTCCTAGATTCTCCGCTCAAAACACTATGCAATTAGCTGAAAAAGAAGAAGAAGAAGAAAAACTTGTAAGAAAATTTCCTAGGGGCTGAAGAGATGGAGAGGGGCTGGAGAGACAGCTGTTCTTCCAGAAGACCCAGGTTCAATTCCCAGCACCCACATGGTAGCTCACAACTGTCTGTAACTCCAGTTCCAAGAGATCTGAAGCCCCCACACAGACATACATGCAGGCCAAACACCAATGCACACAAAAATAAATAAATCTTAAAAAAAAAAAAAAAAAAAACCAGGGCTGGAGAGATGCAGGCAAAGCACTGAGAATACTGTATACATAATAAATAAATAAATCTTTAAAAAAAAAAAAAGCAAAAGAAAATAGTCCCATCTATAAGAAAGCGCAACAAAGATACCATTGACAATGGGCTCACAAGTACATTCAGAGCAGTTACACATGAAAGCTATGGCTGAATTCATAAGCACTAACATCAGCAAATAATGAACAATTTGGTAACAATTAACATTCCCTTCCAAAAGTACTTAATAATTGAAACCACAGAAATTATGTTTTCCCTATCATTAACGCAGAAATGCACCTGTTACATGAAATATTCTACAATCCACCCAAATGGGCTCCATATAAGCACTTCCTCTACATTACTTCTTCCTTCATATAGCTCATTTCCATGGAAAATACGCAGATTGCAAGATTTTTTTTTTTTTGCCCATGCTTATACAGGATAAAAAAAAAAAAAAACAATGAACATTTCTTATAGGGCACTGATGACTACAGTAATGTTTCCAAATGGGGCATCTCCACGTATCTACACCCCATTTACTTCCCATGATTACTATGAGTCATTTGACTCATTTGACCAAGTGAACTCAGTAAATACGAAAACAACCTAAGCTTGAAAAGTGTTTCCTGCTGGGCAGTGGTGGCGCACGCCTTTAATACCAGCACTCAGGAGGCAGAGGCAGGCGGATCTCTGTGAGTTCGAGGTCAGCCTGGTCTACAAGAGCTAGTTCCAGGACAGCCAGGGCTACACAAAGAAACCCTGTCTCACAAAAAAAAAAAAAAAAAAAAAAAAA